CGAGACAAAAACAAAGGTTTTTGTTTTGATACACCACCTTATTATTGCATCATGTTATCGGCATTACAATGGCAAAAAAATAACATAGTTGATATCATGGCACAATTAACATATCAACCATGATGCAATAATAAGGTCATGTATCAAAACAAAAACATTTGTTTTTGTCTCGACATGGTTGATATGTTGTCTAAATATATTACAGGTCAAACATAATAGTTCCGTTCCAGAACCTAAAAGAATCTACTCATTTTACAAGTTTTGCAACTTTTTACTCGAAAACCGTTACTGAACACACAAAACTGGTAAAACATTGAATAAAATTTAAGAGAGCACAATACAAAATGGTGTTCTCTTTGTAAACTTTTTACTCGAGAAATTTGGTCGAGTAAAAATGGTAAACAGGAATGCCTACTTCTGATTGGCTGTTATGTAGATTTTGAAGTATTGCCATCTAATTTTGGCACATTTACTAGATTTTCATACCTGAACTTTTGAAATTATTTTGTACTCTGAGAGAAATTTTGAAATGTTTCTCTTTTACTAGCTTTACTATTAAAAAAGTACTGGAACAGACCATGTGTATATTTGTTAATAAAAAATGTATTGCATATTATTTAAAAAAAGTCAAAACGGCGAAAAATTTGTTGGCGGGTAATGTGGACCATTGTATGCGGGTAATGAGGACCTAAATATATGGGTTTAAAATATAGCATTTCCAGATAAAATGAAACCTTTTACAAATTAAACGAAACGTTTTCCGAATTAAACGAAACCTTTTCCAAATTAAATGAAACCTTTTCCAAATTAAATGAAACCTTTTCCAATTTGAATGAAACCTTTTACAAATGGAATGAAACTTTTTACAAATGGAATGAAACCTTTTGCAATTGGAATGAAACTCTTTCCAAATTAAATGAAATCTTTATTCTTATACATATAATATTTCCAGTAATTTTAAATATTTGAAAATTAAATCAAAGAATATTAACAAATATAGTTGTATAGCTATGTAATTAACATAAATATTCTATAATTCGGTGTGATTTTATTTAATATCTTTACTACATACAACTAAATAAATAGTAACATAATCTGGGGTATTTCTTGACATTTTAATAAATAAATATTTTCGAACAAGAATTGAATACCCGGTCCTAAATGCGAAATACATATTTGATTTAATAAATTGTTGATGATAAGGTAACTGCTTATCTTAATGAAGGGGTTCCCGACTTGCAGCTTGTGGAATCTTCAAAACTATGTCCATAACGTAGTTAAAACAATCTAGCCGAGTAATCTGTTGAATACTTCGCACGATTACATCAACAATGTTATGTTCCATTGAAACGTCACACAGCTCAGCTCTTGCACATAATTTTATTTTTGAAAATGGATTCAATCAAATTTTGTATGTCATGTCGCTTGTGTATTTGAGCGTTATCCACTATCAAGAACGAATTTTTCAACTCTGGATTGATTTTCTCCAAAAGACTTTCTATAAATAATTTAAATCTGTCTGCATTTACACTTTAATTAGAAATGATTGTGTTATGTACAACTCCCGCGTTGTTTATTGCTGCAATTAGAGTGATATTACGACCTCTGACCGTAGGCAACACAATGTGTGCTCTTGTTCCTTGTCTTGAACGGGGTTGGGTTCTTCAAAGGTGAAGATTAAATCCACACTCATCAATGAATATTAATTTTTCTCGTTGTTGGGGTATCCATTTTGTAAAGTCTTGAGCATATTTTTGTCTCAAGCCTAATGTTCTGGAGTCATTCATCCGTTCTATTTCCATAGAGGTCATCTTCAACGTAATTTTTAACTTCCGTTAGGTGTATTTAATAAGGTGTATGCATCAGATACAACAAAAAATATTTTACAAAAGCAACCATGGTATAATAATAGAAGGTAACAGCAAGTGTTGTTGTACAAAAAACGATACAACAACCACATGGAAATTTGTTTTTGTAAGTTCTACTAGTGTCAACTCATTTGACAGAAAAATGTAAACAAATAAACAAATTATCATCAAATTATTTTTATTTTGAAAATGAAATATTTTCGAATCCTCAAAATAAAAATTGAAAAACATGAATGAAAATCTATAAAATTTATATTTCTATCGCTTCCACATCTTTCCTATAATTGAGCCATTGACATATATATGTGTAACACATATGAAAATGCTGGGAATAGCGAGTTATTCCTTGAATAAATATTTGCTTCCTCAAACTTTCCCAGCAGGCAGATTGAGTAAATTGAATACAGGAGCACATTTAATAAAGAACAATTTCAAATTGTATGCGTTCCCAATTTTCCTGTTGGGTGATTTTTAAAAACATAATTTTTGAAATTCATATTGACACTAGTATTACGTTGGAATCAAATCAGCTGGGACTTGCTGTTACCTTTTATAATTGTACCATGAAAAGCAACATTGTTGTTAAAGAAATTAAATTGTCATGCTGACAATAAGTTTTTGACAAACATAAACAATTATTAATTTATTTTTGGCAAGAACTATTTCAGGAATAATTAATGAATTTGTGTATTATTAGGTTACTGGCGGTTTTAGGTCAGTGAAAAATGAAGTTTAAGACATGGTCGCGATTAATTTTAAGTTTCCCACAATTAGCCCATGGCTCCTTGTGATGTTGTTTATATTGTGGATTACAATCTGGATTACAATCTATGGAGTGGCTTCAAATCTTGCCTTCTTAAAGAAAATTGAAGGACATAAATCCCCGACCAAAGACTAAATCATGGAAATTGTGTTGACCATATAAAATCTTTCCATAGGCGTATTTAACCTCCGCCGAGAATTGTGACAAGCACCAAGGGGCCGATTCCAATATAGGCTAACATAATCTCCTCGATTTTAGGAGTAGCTGGAATTTCTGGACAGATTTCCACACACAACATAAAATATGTGCAACAATCGGCGAACGGGCCTAAGATTCCTTTCCGCCCCCCTCTATGAATGTAGTTTTCTTGAATTTTTATTATTAAAAAGCATAAATTTAAAGGCCGTTTTTGAAATCGAAATGTAATATTGAAAATGACAATTCACTTTACAGCATTACCTAAAATTCGACTAGCTCGTTCGACGTTTTTCACCACAAAAGTAGAACACATGTATTTATATGAATGTTACCGAAATACGTCGAGCGTACAAAATATCAAGTTGAAAATTTTCAACTTTGACAGAACGTATTTTTTGTATTTTTCTTTTGTTGAAAATAAAAACAAAACATTCAGATAATATGAAATTTCGAATGTGAACATAAAATATTTGGATTAATTTAATAAATTTTAAACTTTGTTTTGTGGTTTGTATTATTCGCTTGAAGATATGGATTCGACGTATTTGGGTAATACGGCCGTACACAACATTTTACAAAAGTCATGGTATAATAATAGAAGGTAACAGCAAGTGTACAACAACAACATGGAAATTTGTTGTTGTAAGTTCTACTAGTGTCAACTCATTTGACAGAAAAATGTAAACAAACAAACAAATTATCATCAAATTATTTTTATTTTGAAAATGAAATTTTTCGAATCCTCAAAATAAAAATTGAAAAACATGAATGAAAATCTATCAAATTTATATTTCTATCGCTTCCACATTTTTCCTATAATTGAGCCATAGCCATATATATGTGTAACACATATGAAAATGCTGGGAATACCGATTTATTCCTTGAAGAAAGATTTGCTTCCTCAAACTTTCCCAACAGGAAGATTGAGTAAATTGAATACGGGAGCACATTTAATAAAGAATAATTTCAAATTGTATGCGTTCCCAATTTTCCTGTTGGGTGATTTTTAAAAAAATAATTTGTCAAATTCATATTGACACTAGTATTACGTTGGAATCAAATCAGCTGGGATTTGCTGTTACCTTTTATAATTGTACCATGTACAAAAGTGGGGAAGTTGAATTTTTCTGTACGCCCCGTCGAATTACAGCCTTACCTAAAATTCAACTAGCTCGTTCGACGTTTTTCACCACGAAAGTAGAACACATACATTTATATGAATGTTACCGAAATACGTCGAACGTACAAAATTTCAAGTTGAACAATTTCAACTTTGACAGAACGTATTTTTCATTTTTTTCTTTTGTTGAAAACAAAAAAAAAAACATTCTGGAAATTTGAAATTTCGAATGGAAACTAAAAATATATTTGGATTAATTTAATAAATTTTCAATTTTGTTTTGCGGTTTGTATTATTTGCTTTAAAATATGCATTCGACGTATTTGGGTAATACGGCCGTACACAACATTTTGCCATAGTGGGGAAGTTGAAAAATTTTGTACGCCCCGTCGGATTTTAGGTAACGTTGTAAAGAAAAATATTTGAAACCATATGATTGTCACTTACACCTTATTAAATACACTATATTTGTTATTATACTTTGATTTAATTTTCAAATATTTAAAATTACTGGAAATATTATATTTCCTTGGATAAGAATAAAGGTTTCATTTAATTTGGAAAAAGTTTCATTCCAATTGCAAAAGGTTTCATTCCATTTGTAAAAAGTTTCATCCCATTTGTAAAAGTTTTCATTTAATTTGGAAAAGGTTTCGTTTAATTTGGAAAAGGTTTCATTTAATTTGTAAAAGGTTTCATTTAATCTGGAAATGCTATATAAATATAAATGCTAAAATATATGGGTTTATCAACTTTTTTATATTTCAGAGGAGCAAATTGTTTAAATCTTGTGCTAAAAAATTTCAAATCCCACATTTTAATATGAGCTTAACTAAATGTTCAACATTGCAAATATGTATTAAAAATAATGTTAGATGTTTGTTTTTCCTTATTAGAAAAGCACATATGTTTAAATTTGAATCCATACAATTCAATCTGCACCATTGAAAAATATTGTATTGTAAAATATGTATATCTAATAATTTGGTTCATGTTAATATCATAATAATTTTTATTTCATGTATATGTATATATTTTATTTAGAACTTTCTCAAATTAATGCAGACGCGTATTCAGAAGGAAACTTGAATGTATGTGAATTTAAAGACATTATCGTTGGGAGAAGACCAGCATTTGGAATTATGTTCCACGACAGATAGAGCGTAACATTGGGGTTATTCCTAGAAAAATGATATTTGAGTTGCCTTGTAAGTATAACATGCTTGAAAATAACTCACCTTAAACCATTTCCGTCATCCCAGAAATAATACTTGGTATTCAAATTTTTGAAATCCAATTCCGCGTTATCTCCTCGGCGAATTATTTTGTCCCACAGCACTACCTGATTTAACACATTATCTGCGGTTTTATATTCTGCAGTGAGAAATATGAAAAGCTGCTTGACATTCCAGTTGAAAATACTTGTCAAATTTGTTTCCAGATCAAATGTTATATATCCCAAATCATGTTTTTGCCTAGAGGCTCCGTAATCCGGTACATTTTTTCTGTTTTATACATTGCAAAAAAGAAAAACTGTTGTAGAACGTGAAAAAACGAAATTGTAATACTTACACTAAAATTTTTCCAGTTTTTACATTAGACTGAATTCTGTAATCTAGGAACACAGTCGATACAAAACAACAAAATGTTAAACACGCCAAAACCGATAAAGTGTATGCCACGGTAGCATTACCCCTTGTTAATACAGTGTGCATTCCGATACAAAATAAGTTTATTACAATATTGATTTAAAAAAAATTGGTGACACGTATTAGTTGGTTTTTCGTCAATATTCAGGCGCTTAGGGATGTAGAAGTCAGTTTATGGTTAATCGAACTTGTGTTGTTTGAAACCCGTGGCACAATAAATAGGTCGTCCATTTAGCGCAGCTGTTGACTCAATGTGCAATGTTGCCAACATGGAAGAAAGTAAAGCCGTGTACACACTAGGACTTTTGAATGACACTCTTGTCCAAATTTTGCTTGTTCGATAGAGGGGCCTCTCATGTTCGTTATTCATTAGCCAACCAAAGCCAAAAAGAGTTGAGACTCAAAAATGATAGTGTGTACTCGTCTTTCATTATTTCACAGTGATAGAGTTTAATCGTCTTTAGAAAAGACGTGGGGAACTAATGCGGTGTACACACTATCATTTTTGAAGGGCACTCTTGCCCAAATTTTGCTTGTTTGATAGTGTGGCCTCACATGTTTGTCATTCATCAGGCAACCACAAAAATATTTATGTTTGTTGGACAGTCAGTAATCGATAAAAAAGTTGACACTCAAAAATGATAGTGTGTACACCGCTTACTAGTACATGTACATAGTACCGGATAGGGATACGTAGTCGAGTGCAAAAGTCGACTTTTAGATTTTTCGATTTTTCCTCTGACCAAAAAGTCGACCTTTAGACTTTTCGATTTTTGCCTTTGACTAAAAAGTCGATTTTTCGATTTTGCCAAAACTCGACTTTAAATCGACTAAAAAATTTGACTTTTTATAGCAATTATTTGGTCTGTTCCCGTACTGCACGAATCTACTCGATTTTACTATTTTTTTCCATATCATAAAGGAAAAAAGTGTTATCGGAGTAAAAAATAGTAGATTCTTGCAGTACGGGAACAGACCAATTGTGAACAGATAATGTAAAGTACCGGAAAGTGAAATTTTTGGGCAAATTGAGCTATGTGATAAAAAACCTAGTATTTTTGAAGAAAATCGGAAGTCGATCTTGAAAAGCCGACTTTACGATTTTCTCATAGACCACAAGTCGACTTCGACTTTTAGACTTTTCAATGCAAAAAGTCGATTAATCGATTAGTCAAAAGTCGATTTACTTATCCCTAGTGCCGGATTTCGTTAAATGAAAAACAATTTCAATAAATACAAATGTTTGTTTTTCTTTTGTTTCAACTTTTGTCAAAGTTAAATAAATAATGACCAATGCTGATTACACTTGACAACATTTAATTGCCAAACTTTTTTGACAAGGGTCGTTTATTTATTTAACTATGACAGAAAATTCAACAGATATTTTATAATAAATGTCTTAATGTTTTTATGCATATTGATCTCAAATATAGCTATGGTTGTTACGAGTTATATTTATATATTACAGAAGCAGGAGAGACAATTTACCTCATTTTACCATAAATAATTAAATCCACTCATTATTTCGATTTGCTGAGTTTTTTAATATTGCCCGAATAATTGCGTAGTGCAATTGCCACAATTTTTAGCGAACAAAAAAGAAACAAATGTTAAAAAAAATCCTCATATGTTTATATGTGACATATGAATTGAGAAAATATACAAATGTATTTAAAACAACAATATTTTTAGAAAAAAAAAATGGAAAAAAGAATTAAAAGAAAATATATATGAGTCCATACTATCAATAGGAGAAAGAGAATTATTTTTCCTATTTAGATCCATATGTGAATCACGCGATTATGTTCAAATTTTGGTGTAAAACAAGAAACAAAAAGTTTGAGAAAATAAACTTTGATGACATTAATTAAGAATAGTGTTGTATGAACGGGTTAATTCATGTACGTAATTGTGAGAGCGAACAACGTTGTTCAAATGCCCGTCAGAACATGGCATTACCCAAATACGCAATGCGAATCAAAATTTAAAATCGATAATTTTCAAAATTGGCAGTGCGTATTTCGGATTTTTATCTTTTAAAAATGATATCCAGTCATTATAAAATTTGTGTGTTCTGTATCTAGATTTATAGATCAATTAAAAATGTTTTTATTCATTTTCGCTGTTTACAATATAGATCTTGGAACAGACCAAGGTGCATGCATTAGCTACAACAACGAACATTTTACAAAAACACCATTGTTGTTATAGAAATTATATTGTAATGCTGACAATTAGTTTATGTCGTGAAGAAACAAAAACAAATAAGTAATTTTGACAAAAGTTGTACAATTAAAGAAAAATTATATTGAAAATAGAAAATATATGCCCTTAAAAGTGTCCATCCTGGTCGGAAACGCCATTATTTTTATATTGCCGCCGATTTCCTGATAACAACCATACATATTTTCAAGAAAGTCCGTACTACCCGAAAATCGGCTTCCAAAGCTGACTTTCCAAATATAAAATTGAGGTGATTGTTACTTGGAACATACCCATCTAAACAAAAAATTGAGGTGGTTGGCCAGATCTCGGCAAACAACTTCTCCATCGACAGATTCTAATGCATGATATGAAACTGAATTTCTTATACAATCAAAATTACTTCTACATATTACTTTCTAAACCTGAAGAAGTAGAAGTGGGTGGCAAATATTCGATGCAATTTAAGATTTTCGCCAACGCAACAAATCTCCTTTTTTGCGGAAATTTTGTCGGTGGTTAGCCTTGAGCTAAATTTTTGTCGAAATAAAATTCCTATAAATTCCCAAATTCATGCTATATCCCATTAATAAAATATATATCCTGTTGTAAGTGTTTGAAATGATCCGCGACATCGCTTTAAATTTAGTTCTTTAGGAAGCTATGGAATGACCCCTTCCCATTAATAAAATCTTTGTCCAAAAAACTATTTATATTCGGATTTGTTTATAAAGTTTTAAAAATTAAAAAAATATTTCAAAAATGTGTTTGACAATTAGATTCACAAACAAAGAAGAATAAACTTTGAAACCATATGATTGTTACTTACACCTTATTTAATATACCTTGCAACAGACCATGATGCAATAATAAGGTGATGTATCAAAACAAAAACGTTTGTTTTTGTCTCGACCACCTGTCAAAATTTTCCATATAATGTTTCAGATGGTTGGCAACATTGCACATAGAATTCCAGTAGAATTTACGCACTTTGACAGTTAATCGAGACATCAGCTGGGCTAAATGGACTACCTATTTATAAATGGCCTATAAATAAGGTCACCCAGGGAAACCAGCTGGCTATCTGCGCCACTCAAGTTTGCTGTCAAAATGCATTATTGTGAATTGACTTCCATTATGAAAACGTAAACAAAGACGAAATTTTTGACATTATACTTGAGAAAAAACAGCTGTTTCCTATTTCGATTGCTACCTGGGTGACCTTATTAATAGATCTTGGGACTACCTATGCATTGTACCATGGAACAGACCCATGGTATAATAAAATAAAGTAACAACAAGTGTTGTTGTGCAACGAAAGATACAACAACCACATGGAAATTTGTTGTTGTAAGTTATACAAATGTCAACGTCATTTGACAGAAAAATGTAAAAAAAAACAAATTATCAACAAAATGTAATATTTTCGAATCCTTAAAATAAAATTGAAAAACTTGAATGAAAATCTATCAAATGTATATTTTTATCGCTTCCACATCTTTCCTATAATTAAGCCATTGCCACTTATATGTGTAACATATATGAAAATGCTGGGAATTGCGAGTTTTTCCATGAAGAAAGATTTGATTTCTCAAACTTTCCCAGTAGGCAGATTGAGTATATTGAATACGGGAGGACATGTAATAAAAAATATTTACATAGACTGCTTTTCCACAGACAAATGTTTATCTGGCAAATACTGAGTTTGTAGGCGAGAGGGGTGCGATGAAGAAAAACAAAAATTTGCCTGTTCAGAATTTGCCGCACACGCAAATTCTGCTTTGCTCTGTTCGTTGAAAACAATTTTGTTGGCATTTCCTTTTGAACCTATTCGCTTTACTGACACACAGCCGGCTTTTGTTTACAAGCCTGTTGCTTTAATTTGTGCAAGTGAAATTTAATTTTTAATTTTTGCAATTTATATAATAAAACATATAAAAAATAAATAAAATATTAAAAAAAAATCTTTAAAATGCAAACACTTTTGACTTTTATTTTCTTTCTTTTGTATTTTGCTTCGCAAATTTGGCAAAGAAAAATTTGCTAATGGAAAAGCAAGCGAAAATTTCAAAAGAAAAAACAAAAAAATTTGCCAAATAAAAATCTGCCTGTGGAAAAGCAGACTTACTAATATTTACATAGTCTGCTTTTCCACAGGCACCCCTCTCGCCTACAAACTCAGTATTTGCCAAATAAAAATTTGCCTGTGGAAAAGCAGACATATTTGTGTATTTAAAAGTGAACTGTGTAAACAGAAAGAGTATAGGAAAACAAATGAAAAAATTGAAACTGAATATAAACAAAATTATTGAAAGTGAAATAAAATTTAGAGATCAATTTTACATTTTGATATAAAAATTAAAAGTTCATCAATGTGTTGCTGGTTTCTGGACATTAAGAGCTCTTGTAGGTTGCTGAACGTGTGGAAGATTGCAAACTGCTTCCTTTGGATTTCATATTTTTTACAATGAAAAATAATATGTTTCTCATCTTCAATAGTATTGCAGACTTCACACAGATTTGTGTTCACAATGCCGATTCGATGGAAGTATTTTTTTGTGTAAGTGTGACCAGCCAGGAGTCTGTTAATAATTTTTATATTTGCAGGTTTCATCTTAGAGGATTTGAAACAAGGTTGTTTTGGTGGTTCTGGAAAAAATTGATAGAACCAAATGCCTTTGGACCGGCAGATTTCTTTATATATATATATATCCGTGAACTCTTCCACATAGATGATTCGACTTGCTTAATAGCATCCGTCACTGATAGACAATAGTCAATTTTGTATCCAGCGTTAGCTGCATGTTTGGCGAAGTAATCTGCCGCTTCGTTTATTGAAATTCCAACGTGTGATGGTGTCCAAA